CGGGGCCGGCGCCTGCCTGGCACGGGCCGGCCGGGGCGCGGGAGGCACCCGCTCGACCCACAGCCCCGGGGCCTGGGGGGGCCTGGGCAGGGCGACCCCGGGGCAGCGCTGAGCCGGGGGGGTCTCGCTCTGTGCCACCATCCCCTCGCCTGGGTCCCATCGCTGCCCTCCTGCAGGCAGGGGGATGGACCCCCACCCTCGCACACTGCAGACCTCGGTGCGCGCCAGGACGGGCCGCACACCCGGCAGGGTACAGCCTGCAGCATACAGCCAGGGGGTACAGTCGGCAGAGAGCCCCGAGCCCTGGGAGCTGCCCCCGCCTCCAGCTGGGGGAAGGAACCCCCGGCAGCTGCGGCCAATCCGTGAGCACCACCCAGGGCTTCGCTCAGCTCGAGGCAGGTGTTAACTCTGACACCTAATGATAACTTCCCTTCCCAGGACCCAGCAGCACTAAGGGTTCTGCCCTCAGGCTGTGCAAAAGGACCTCGGCAGCGGAGCCTGTTCTTGGGATTTCCTGGGAGAAACCTTCCCCCCCCCCCGGCTCTGCCTTTGCCCTCCCCGGAGCCGGGGGAGGCCAGGGCCCTTCTGGAGCGGGTGGCCACCGAGGGGGCTTTGCGTGGTGTGCCTCAGCGATCGCCCTGTTCCCCAGAGCGGAGCTGCCGCCTCAGCAGGTCAGTGTTTTCAGGAATCGGGGTGGGGGGGACGTGAATCAGCGCCTGGTGGGGCCCAAAGCCCCTGTCAGCTTTCCAAGGAAGGAAGTGGTGGCCGGACCCGAAACCCTGTGGGTGTTGGGGCGGTGGAGCTGGCCCAGCACAACCCCCCCCAGGGCCAGTGCTGCTCGGCCTGGCCCCAGGGACTGTCCCAGCCGCCCGCCCCGCTGCGGTTCTGCCTCGTGGCCCCTCTTCCTCCCTGCGGGGCCTGACCCAGGCACCCTCGGCCCCTTCCCGGCATCCGCCAAGAAGCGAGCGCTTCCAGGGTGTCCCTGCATCCCCTGTGCTGGGTCCGGCACCCCCCGGCGCTGGCTGGGCTCTTCCCTTCCCTGCTCCTCCCTGGCCGGTGGGGTCTGGCCCCGGGACCCCAGCGTGGCCGCAGAGCACGGACAGGCTGCGTCCATCGCTCTGGGGCAGCCCCACAGTTGACCCCCAGCCCCTGGCCACCGGCCCGGCATGGGTGCGCTGGGAGATTCCCAGATTTCCCCAGAGGATGAGCCCAGCTGGTCCCAGATGCTGGCAGGACCCATCTGGGGTGGCTGCGCGGCCCATCCCCATCACTCCCCAGGTCTGGGGGGTACAAGGGGGGCCCAGCCTGGCCCCCGTGCCTTCCCAGCAGGCGAGGGGGCGGCAGGGCTCAGCCCTTTCCCTCCGTGCGCAGACCCGCTCCGGCCTTCCTCTGCAGCAGCAGGAAAACTGGGTTTGGGAAAGAGGATCCACGGGCTGGAGCAGATGGTGCTGGGCCCTGCTGCTGCCATCGAGTCCCGGGTGCCCCGGCTCAGCTCCCGCCTGGCCCGCGGGTCCCAGAGCCCCCAGGACCCCGTCCCTGAGCTCCCCGGGCCAGGCCCAGCGTGGCCGGGACATCAGCTCCGAGCTCGAGCCCCGGGGAGGGGAGCAGATAACAGAAGTCAGCCCCCCGCACACTCACAGTCACAAGAAACCCACGGCAGGAGCAGGCCAGGCCGGTGTTTTTCCAACTTTTATTTTAAAAGTCATAATTGAAGCTTAACAAAGTTTGACCCCATTATTGTTGCCAGAGCTGGGGGCACCCGCGGTCCCTGCGGAGCCGTGCTCCTGCCCCCCGCCTGCCCTGGCCCTGCTTCCCCAGGAGCTCCCACTTCATGGGCTCGCCCGCGCCTCCGCCGGGCTCAGCCAACGACCGTGACCACAAGCAACCTTAAAAGAATGTTTGTTTATTGGGGAAGGGGGTTCCCGCCGCGGGGGGCGGGGGGCCAGGAGAGCAGGGCCTGTGGCTGCGGGCGCAGGGAAGCCCCGTCTCCCCCTCCCACGGTACAGACATGCAGGTATTTATAAAAGAAAGGCAGACGGGGGAGCGGGGCTGCGTGGGGGAGCTCCGCTCAGACAGCATCTTCCCCAGGGACAAATAAAAAAATACAGCCAGGCCAGAGGGTCACGGAAAACCATCGTCATCGTCCTCTGCCATCTCCTTTGCGAACTCCAGGTCCTGCTGCTCGCGCTCCCGGCGCTCCTGGAAGGCAAAGGCAGAGGTTGGTGGCAGCTGGGGGACAGGAGCTGCGTCCTTCCCGTGGCCTCGGTGGCTGCTGGGCTGCAGAGACCCAGATGAGATCTCACCTCTGCAGATTCCAAGTCCTTGTTATAAGATTTGGGTGGGAACCTCATGGCCTGGAAAAAAGAAGGGAGAGGAGAAGCTCTGAGCTGAGAAACGCCTCGACTCCGCCGCGTTGTCCTCTCCAGCCGGGCCCTGCCAGCCCCTCGCCCGGGGACCTGCTGCGCTCACCTTGACGGACATGTTGTGGATGTCGAGGCAGAAAGAGATGCGCTGGTGAAACGCCAGCTGGGGCTCCCGGGTGGAGTAGATGTCGATCATTTCCTTTGACTGGACGTAGCCCTTCTCGTGGTTAATGCTGGCCTCGATCACGCCGTCCCGAATGGCCTGCAAGCCGGAGGGCACGCGGTCAGGGCACCCGCTGTCTCCGAGGGCTGAGGCAGCAGTTTAGAGTGAAGGGAGGAGCTGGCTGCTGTGACAGGAGCGGTGGCCTCAGGACACAGCGCACAGAGAGGGGAGTTGGTGCTCTAAGTGTCCCCAGCAGCCCCGGGAAGGGCCTCAACCTAAAACCAGCGACTGCACCGGGAAGGGAGCGCTGCGGGGACAGGGCAGAGGCAGGCCGGCAGGAGAGCGAGGAAGGGGGGCTGTGGGCAGCCCAGGACGCAGGGGGACAGGACTTCATAGGTGGCTACCTTGGCGACAATGAACTCCGCATCCTCCGGGCTGTCCAGCTGCAGCTTCTGGGCAATATCGGCCAGGGAGATGCGAGAATAGGAGAGGCTGATCATACGGACACCTGCGGGGGAGGAACGGGAGTGGAGCCCCCCGGGCCAGGCAGCCCCGCGCCCGCTGAGCCCACAGCAGCGGCCGTGACGGGGTCCCCGGACACCCCAGCGGCAGCCTCCAACCTGTCTTGATGACGTTGTGCCTCAGGCGAATGATCAGGGTGTAGGTGCCGTCGGCCTGGAACTTGTCCCCAAACTGATCGAGGACTTGGTTGAACTTGGCCAGGTTGCCGGTCCTGACGGCTGGAGGAGAGAACGCGTTAATCGGGGAAGGAGAGAGGGCCGGGGCGCGGTGGGGAAGGCGCGGCAGGGCTGACTCCCAGGGCTGCCATCCCCTCCTCTTCGGAGCTGCCTCCTCCTCCCCAAGTGGAGTCTGCAGCTGGGCGCCATCGAGGACGGAGAGAAACCCCCACCGCTCCCTCCCGCAGGGCTTCCCGCTCCCTCAAAGCGCGGGACATCGTGGCGAGGGACGGAGCGCGGGCAGGAGCGGCCTGCCGTACCCTGAGTCAGGAGGAAGTAGGGCATGAGCGACCGCTTGAGGGAGGGTTGTCTGAACTGGAGCCTGTCCGGGATCTCCCCGAGCAGCAGTTCCACCACGATCAGCAGCTTGTGCACCTTGAGCAGAAAGAGACGGTGAATCCCGGCGGGGTCCGGCCCCGCAGGCAGCTTCTTTGGGGACCCAGGGGGTACCGGATCCCCCAAGCTTCCCATCCCTGCTCACCGTCTGCTTGAAGCCGACGGCCGTGTGCTGCGGCGCCTTCCGCAGGGCGTTTGTCATGGTCCTCCGTGCCTCCGAGTACTCCAGCTGGATGGCCTTGATGCGCCCTGCGTTCACACAGAGCAGAAGGCGTTTGGAAAAGCCATTGGGTGAATCCAACTGGATCCACCTGGATGGAGCTTCAAATCCTGCCTGGAAGCCCCATCTCCAGCTGCTCAAACAGGTTCTCTGGGGAACCAGAGCCCTCGATCTCAGGTGCAGCCCAAGCTGCCAGCGCTGTGCGGGTCCCTCTGCGTCTCACCTGTGTAATAGAGGTACCGAGCCCACTCGTTGTTGTTGGCCTGCTCAGGAAACACGGACTTGGAGACGAGCTTTTCTGCTTGGTCGTAAAGGTTGTAGTGGAGATAGTTCCTCAGCAGCAGGTTCAGGAGGGTGGCCTGCCCGTCTGCATCGTGGCGCAGCGTGGCCGTCCGTAGCCGGGCGTGCAGGAAGCTGCAGGAAAGGGAGAGAGCGTGTCAGGGAGGAGGAAAGAAACAGCCCTGCTCACCGGGGCGCGCGGGACCAAGCTCAGGGAGAGCCCACACGCAGGATCCACCCTACCTCCTGACCACGTCGAGTTTATTCAGGAATTCGTAGATGCGGGAGTGGTAGTAGTAACATTTTGCCACCACCAGGTCAAGGGCCCGGCGGTTTTGGGAACTGATCTTCTGCATCAGGTCGTCGGACACTTTCTGAGCCTGCAGGAGAGGAACAGAGATCAGAGCAGAGGAACTGCTGCCCGGGGAGAGCAGAGAGACTGCTGGGGCTGCGGGACTGAGCCCGGGGGCTGCCTCCAACTGCAGCTGAAATAAAGGGGAAAGTGTGGGGCCAGGGACAGGCAGGTCCCTGAGGCTCTCCAGACCCTGCCTGGCGCAGAAGCGCCACACAAAGAGCTCAGCTTCAGAGCTGGCAGCTCAGGGAATCTCACCTCTGGGTATCGCTTGCTGTTCATCAAGTAGATGACGAGAAGCAGTTGGAGGTAGGTCTCCACTTCTGGCAAGAGAGGGGCTGAGGCCGCCTTCCCCGTCCGCGGGCGAAACTGCAGCTCGGCTTCTGTGTCCATGGACTGGGGGGAGAGAAAAGTGCTGGACCCCCAGCCCTCCCGGCCCTTCAGCATCGCTACTGCCCTCCCGGTGCTCCTCAGGCCTGTGGCGAGGCCTGTCCCCTGCCCGGTGGCAGCTCTGCTTGAGGTGTGACAAGAGAGCCAGCCCAGGCTGCTGGCACTACAGTCCCATCCCTGCCAAGAGCTGCAGTGACCCATCTCATCTCACACGCGCTCCCGAGCAGCCCAGCTGTGTGTCCCAAGTGTCCCCAAGCCCTTGCTGTTCCTGGTCCCCTCCCGCCCCGCACAGCGGCACTCCGGAGGCTCCTCGGTGCAGGAAAGGCGTCCCCTCTGCAGCCGGTCGTCTCTCCCTGTCCCCTGCCGCCGTACCTCCTCCAGGAAGCCGAGGAGGAAATCCCGCATGGTGCTGTTGGAGGTGAAGAAGCCATTGATGGCTTTGTGAAGCACGTTGGAGTTGAGTCGGCGGGAGGTGGAGGGCAGAGCCCGCAAGGCACGCAGGACGTAGCGCGGCTCCTTCCCCGACACAGCCTTCTCCAGCTGCTTCACGTGCTCTTTGATATCTGCGGGAGCGCAAGGGACGCGCCGTCAGCACGCGTCTCCCGGGGGCCTCTGCCGAAGGAGGCACCGGATCGCTCCGGGTACGAGGCGCCCCGTCCCTGGGTCCCTCTGCCTGCTCGTGGCCCTAGGGCTGCGTGGCCTCAGCGTCCTGCGTGACCCGACTGGACCCCGCGGCCGTCCCTGCTCGGAGAGGGGGGCTGGAGAAGACCCCTCCGGAGTCCCCTTCCCCCTCGTTCCCCCTGTGGGCTCCAGCCTCCCTCTGCAGCCCCGTGGGGTCCTCCCACAGCACCTCTGCAGCCCCCCCGCCCCCC